CCCCAAAACCCCAAAACCCCATACATCTGATAAATAGTAAGTTAAGAAGGTTAGAAATTTAAAATAAATTAATTGGGATTATATAAATAAAAGTATAATTCATATCGAAATAAGATGGAATACGACGAAAGCATTTACAACTTGATCCCCAAGGAACGCTACGAGCCCCCCAAGCAGAAGATGTACAAGTCCAACCACCCTCCAACTGTTCCACCTACTGGAACTACCTTCGGACTCAAGACCACATCTAGACCAGGAGTTGGAAACCTTAATGGCGAGTACCAGCCCCAAGGCAGCAATCACACTCATAAAGCCCCAGGTGCAACCTTCGGTTAACCCAACGGAGCACTTAAACCTGATACTACCTCATTCAGAAAGAAAGGCACTGGCTAAATGGTTCTCACAGATCGTAAGTTTTCACCCATAGATATTTTAATTTCTGAATTTAACCTAAACAAATATACTAAGCGTTTCATGTAGCGACTAAATTCTAAAGAGAAGGAGACAAAAAAGCTTCAGTACCGAAGAAGGACGAGAAACCCATCATGGGATTAGTTTCAGACAAGAACTTCATTGTTGCTAATGCTGTTGAAAACATTCTAGCAGGTAAGCTTAACCCACTTTGATGTTAAATTGTCTATAGCACCCAAGCTACCCACCAATACATCCGCAGATTTCCTAAAGAAAAAGAACTATGGAAAGGTTCCTCAATTCCTTTAGAAAATCAAGAGGGAGATCGAAGATGAGTACCAACTTGTCAGAGAAATGCAACTTGAAGAAGAAAATGAACGCGATAGACAAAAGTTCTTATTGGATGACTAAGAGAGAGGAGAACTGATAGCAGCTTTGAAGAAGAAGTGGGAAGTAGTGCACAAGGAATATCAGACCTTAACCCATAAGGGAAAGTTAGATACTCTAGGCATCAAGAATAAGAAGGAAAACTGCGAGAAGGAACTCGCCCAACTCGAAAAAGATATCGCAAAGCTTAGCAAAAACTTCATTTTCGTTGATACAATGCAGGCAGCCTATTGATAAAATAATAATATTTCTGAATGCTGAATTATAAGACCGATTCCCTTATATACTAGTATTCATTAAATTTAGGATAAAACTTATCAAAATTAAACAGTCTTTTTATTTATATTATCGAATTCCCAAAGATAGACTGTTTCTAATTGTATAATCTTATTAATAAAGTTAAGTTTAAAATAATAGCTAAATATTTTTCACAACTGTCATAGATTCTAATTTAATTCACATCAAATCATTGGAGAATAAAATACGATAGATGCTTAGTCTAATCAAAGGCATAGTCTCATTGCTTGTTCATGAATTAAGTCAAGTCAACTTTCAGCTTCTTGATGTTGTTGCTCTCTTCAAGGACTGGACTCATGGATCTGCTGCTAACAGTGTCGACATGACTATCATCCTCAGCCATAGTCCCTCCTGTTTGTAAAATGCTATTTTGATTTTTGCAGAGAGATGAGTTGGTGTTGAGAGGATTTTAACTTTGACTAACATTTGTATTTGGGTTATTATATCCATTTGATAACACTGAAAGAGACATGTCCGCCTTAGACTTCTTATCTCCTGGGTTTGCTGCTCTCTAATATGACTTAGGCGGGAGATTAGTTAATTTTTAAGAAGGTATTTAATGAATTGACATTTGCGATGATGTGGATGGCCTAGCTGATTATAGATTGATCTAGGTTGTTGGTTTATAACTGGCATTGATGAACTTCTATAGTTAAGATGAAGGTCTATTGCTTGAAACATTTGACTGGGGAGTTTGCCTTCCATTAGTCTAGTTTTATGAGATTAGCTAGGTATCAAATACAAAGGAATTTGATGTCTTTGGTTTATTTTTTGTGCTCTAAGGTATCTGCGACATCTGTTATTGCTATTATTGGATGAATTATTAGTTATATTGATAGATAGAGTTATTAGTCTATTGACTGTTTGTTGTAGTATTATTCAAGACTTATTTAGGTTCGCTAGAGAGCGAGTCATTTTTTATGTAGTTTTGAACGTTCCCACTAACTATCCTTTGCTTTAGAGTAGTGATAGGTCTATTGCTGTTTTTGGTCGATTAAACTTGTGGCTATTAGAGATTAGACTTGCTATTCTTCTAAATGGGAGAAAGTATACTGGTATTTTGTAAGCTTAAATCATCTTTTTTCATAACTCTGGTTACTAATGGTTTTTTATTAGATGATTCCTGAGTTGGAGCTGTTCTCACTGTATGCTTCTCAGAGGGTGTACCATGCACTTCTTTCTAGTTATCAGAAAGAACTAAGCTTGCTTCATCGTCAGTTTGGCAAAAACTCTTTTTATAGTAGTGAGTAACTTTTTCTTGTCTTGGAGTGTGCTAATTATTTCTGCGAGGAGTTATCTTTCCCTGCGAACAATAGGCTTTTGCAACATTATTGTTTAGTGAAACTTTTTTAACTGGGGCGTTTTCTTTCGCGCTCTAAGTGGTTTATTAAGAGACTAAAGTCTAATTGTTGGAATTCAGATTTGACTAAGCAGTCATTCTCCCGGATGATTAAACTACTTGCTACGATTGATAAGACTTACCTTGATTGTTCCTACTAATATTGGAAGTAGATCTGTCTCTAGTTTGACTAGTTGTACCGTGTGGTAGCTCCATTTATTTAGCAAATTCACTTACTTAAGACCTATCTCTCTATAACTAATTTTGATTAGTCCTTTAAGTAACTGCTCCCTTTTTATCTTTACTTAGTGGCTGTGGCTGGGATTATTACTGAGCATGCTTGCTCTAGAGTCTGAATTGATTGTCATTATACATCGCTGATTATCCTTGCTTATTCGCTGCCATGTTCATTTTATTTACTACAGGCTTTTAGCTAGAGTTAGAATTCTAGATTGAAGTTCTCTTATCTCCTTCTCGCTAAGGAGAGATCACAGTAGATTTCATCTTTCCTTCCATCATTTATTGTCCAAGCTGAGATTTAGCGCGTTCACGGTTAGGTGTCTTAGACCTTGGTCTCTATTCAATGGGATTCTCTTTAGCCTTCTCATGACTATTGAATTACCTTAGATTCATGGCACTCATTTACTCAACTAATATAAGCTAAGAGGTGTTCATTGGCTGATCTGTAAAGCATATATGTTCTAAGTCAGAGAACTATGAGTAATCTTTAATATGATCAGGGTCAAGTACTTTCACTTACTGGAGCATTCTCTTTATATTATTCTCATAGTTTGCTCCTTACTTCTCAATAGTGTTACCCATCAAGGATAGCACAGTCAGTTTCTTGCATTATAGTAATGGTGTGACCTTATCCATTTCACTTATTTTGTTATGACTAAGATCTAGTAACTGTAGATTTTTAAGCTAGCCGAATTCTTTGATTATTGAGGCTTGGTTGAAGGCAAAGATGACTTCTCTAATGCTCTGAAGATGCACTAGATTATTAACTGAGGACAATTGATTGCCTGAGACATTAAGGAATTTAAGATTCACACAAGATTCTATGCCAGTGAGTGATTTGAGTTTATTGAAGCTCAAGTTCATAAACTGAATAGATTTCTCTAGTCCAGTGGGAAGTTTAACCAATGAATTCTATGAAAGATTTATAGATCTCAGCTATCTCTTGTCTGAAGCACCTGTCTTGTAGTCAATCTCAAATGTCTTGAGACCTTTACCTGCGAGATCTAAGTCAATGTTATTTGATGATTGATTTGATTGACCCTGAGATGATTGGCCCACAGAAATCTTTGAGATGTTTTACTAGATATGCTGTGATTGCGAGGAGTGACTGCTGTTGTGTGAGAGGATGGTATTATTGTTGATGTTATTATGTGTGTGATTGTGGTGGTTGTTAGAGGTACTACTATTATTGACATTGTTACTGTTCTTTTAAATGGAGTTCAGAGAAGAGATTCTTGTGGACTTCTCATAGTTCATGTTCTGCTCTTCAAAGGTACCAACAAGGTCAACTCTCACGCTGCTGCCTGTATTGGCATTATTTTCCAAGGTGCGCCATTTAGAAGAACCATAAGAATGGTTGCTTGCTAATTCTACCTGTCCATCTTCCTACTCATATTAAAAGCTGTTTCTTACTTCTGATATTTTTGATTGGTTCTGCTTTTAATAGTAAACCTGTTGCTGCATGCTTTGTGAAACTGGCATATAGTTCTGAGAAACACCAGAATTTTTAATAGTTGCATAATATGAGTCCTGCACATTAACTGCAGCTGATAGCGCAGTGGTTAACTGCTAGAACTGCTGATTTTAGATTTGAACATTATTGGTTGCATTTTGATGTTGACTTGTTCTTCTAACTGACTTAAATGTGGCGGTTCTGCTTGACCTGATGCTCTCCTCCAGTTTCTGGTTTTTCCTTCTGGAATCTGACTAAGTTTTGCTTTCCTCACCATCACAGTCATCATCCTCTGAGTAGTCACTATCTATCTCACAAGCCTCGTCCTCGTCTCTGTCCTTTAAGCCAAGATTAGGGTTACTCAACAGAAGTGGCGCCTACGCAATTAATTACTGTTAAGAACCCTGCGGTTAATGATGATAGCTCTGATGTTCTGTCTGTACGTTGCCATAGTTAATCAGACTGTCAGCAAAACTAGGGAAAAAGTCCTCATTTTTCTTCCTCCTTGGATTAGGGTCGGTTGATATACTTCCTCCATAGGATACTTAAGGCTTGCTGAGATTCCTGTTGTGGTTTGAGACTCCGCTGCTTCGCTTCTCATAACGATTATTCTGATTAAATCCATAACTCTGCTCCATGTCATCCTCCTCATAGTCCACCTCTGAGACCTAGCTATCTTCATGCTAAACTGGCTGCTGTTAGTATAACTCCTCTGAATCGATTTATTAAAATGCAGTGGACTACTTTGGGTTAGATATGATAGATTAAGCGAATGATTTAGTGAGGAATATATCTATGATATTGTCCCAGGTTATATACTTAGGCATCTTATTCACACCATTCTCCACCTCCTTGTAAGAGAAGGCCACCTCGCTACAGTTTTTATAATAATCATTCCTCGTTTGAAGTGGCAGCAAATGCTTAATTTTGCGGAAGCCTTTAATAAAATTGGCGGTCTCCACATGCTTCTATTTGTTCTAGTTGAATGACTCCAGCTGATCAAAAAGAACTTTTAAATATGTGATCCAGTTCATGCGGTTCATCACATATAAATTTCGCTAGGCCTCCGTGTTCGGATTTTCCATGTACTTCATCTTGGTATCATTGCATTCTGAGCTCACGAAGCTGCATTGTATGCTCTAGCGAATCGACTCGTTGATTGAGGGTTCAACTCCACCACCCTCGATGCCATCGTTGAAAATGTCGCTGCTATCATTCATGATTACTTAACTTAATTTTTTATGCCCAGGGACTTGACCCCCTATCTTATGGCTGGCTTTACCTAGAGGCAGTTGGTATTCTTAGTGCGAGCGACTGACTACTTTAAATTAAATATCATCTGTCTGATAGATCTTTGGATTAAAATTTGAAAAAGACATTGTTGTTGTTTGCTTGCTAATAATTTGGGAATTCTCCCTGTTTGTTGAATTCAATTAAAAACAATTTATTTATTCATTCTATGTCCTTAATTATTGCTTGATGGGGTTTTGGGGTTTTGGGG